CGTATTAATCCATCTATCTTGGATGTTAAGATTGGTTCCAGAACATGGTACCCTGGGGCATCTGATGACTACATCAAAAAGTGCCTTGAGAAGGATGGAATAACCACCACTGTGTCCCTGGGCTTTAGGATATCCGGATTGTGGCTATACGAGGGAAAGGAATCAGGATTCTGGAAGCCTGGTAGGGAGGAAGTCCGGTCGTTTACGGTCGATGATGTTAGATCACTTCTGAGAAGATTTGTTTCCTCAAATTCTTCTATTGGTAACGAGAAGCCAGATTGTTCTTTTGCTCCTAGCATATATGGTGGTTCTACAGGGGTTTTAGAACAATTATTGGAGCTGAAAGCTTGGTTTGTGGATCAAACGATTTACCATTTTCACTCATGTTCACTTCTCATCTTGTTTGATAAGGAATCTGCTCTGAAAGGAAGCACTCCAGCAGCTCAAGTTAAACTCATAGATTTTGCTCACGTTCTGGAAGGTAAAGGTGTTATCAATCACAATTTCTTGGGTGGACTCTGCTCTTTGATAAAGTTCGTTTCCGATGTTCTCTCCGATTCAAACGAATCCTCAATCACAGCTAATGCGGAATCTGAGAAGCCACACGTTTGTACTAGTAATGGCAATTGAGTATCGAGTCATTTCCGTTTCCGGAGTTCGTAGTTTCTTTTCTGCTTTGTTAGACTGTTGCTTCTTTTTTTCCCATGAAAATTGTGATAGGCCATAATTTTCCATCAGCCTCCATCTTAATTGTAGATAGAGACAGCTTGTTGTTTTTGTTCCAATAAAAATTTTCAGAAATGAAGATCTGTGTCTTTATTTGTATAATTTTTGGCATGGTACGGTATTTTTTTTAATATACCGACAACATACAAATATCTTGCAAACACAATTGCTTGATTCCAGATTCTCTAATCCGAAAAACATTCTCTTGTCCCCGGAAATTGACTGCACACCTTATTTAAATTTAATTGTAGATAGAGACAGCTTGTTGTTTTGTTCCAATAAAATTTTCAGAAATGAAGATCTTGTCTTTATTTGTATAATTTTGGCATGGTACGGTATTTTTTTTAATATACCGACAACATACAAATATCTTGCAAACACAATTGCTTGATTCCAGATTCTCTAATCCGAAAAACATTCTCTTGTCCCCGGAAATTGACTGCACACCTTATTTAAATTGCTTCATTACCGGTGTCCACAAATTATATTTTACTCATGTCATGTTGCACTAAGAAGGGTAAGGCCATGGCCAAAGGCAACTGCAGAATCTTTTGCATTTCCTGTTGTAGCAAAGAAAAGTTGCAGAGTCGATTAACAGGGGAATCATGTTTAGACAAGTTGAAAAAACTGGGTCCATTTTAGACATTTGCTGTTGTTTTCATGAAAGATTGAAGGGAATCATCAGCAAAAGAACACAATCCTAGTCTTTGAAGCATACATAATCTTTTCTTTATAGCAATGGAATCCATATGAAACCCAGTAGTGAACTCCGAGCCTACCTGAATAACTTCCGGTTCTTCCAATCTCTAAATGTATACATATATAAACCCTGCAATAGAACAAGCTGATATCCATAGATTCATAAAAGAATTTTAAAATTCAAATTAATCCGATTGAAAAAAAATAGAATTAAAATGACTAATTTAACTGATAAATCTATATAAATATTTGAAGGTTAAGTTTAAAAGGCCTACCTTTTGAACTATAGCAACGGTTGGGTCCTTCAGGCGGGTGATAGAGAGAATGTCAAAGCCTCCCTTGTAGTTTGTTACTTTGCACACAAAGAAATACCAAGGACTCCATGAAGAATTTGAATCCTTGAACTCTGAAAAAATTAAAAATGGATGATGAAATCGCAAGGTGGAGACCCCTTCAATCGGATTGGTACTCTCCAAGACGACTCCACGACAGTCCCGTTCATTACGATTTTCCGGTAACCATTCATCTTTCTCTTCCCTTTCAAGAATCACATTCTTCGTTTCATTCAATGTTCTGTAAGTATTAGTAATCTACTACTTTCTTGAATCAATTTGTTCTTTTTCCTTTTTGGGTTTATGCATATGCAAAAGGGCGATCGCTTTATACCCAACAGAAGTCTGATGGATCTTGATAGAGCCCACGGTTTGCTGACCAACAGGACCACGCAGTTCGACACTGATTCGAGTTTCAATGTACGTCTTCACCATTTGTTTTTGTAATTCTGAAATTTTTTAACGAATCTTGAATAAAGATAGTGGAAATCTTGAGAGAGATTTGATTTCTCATTTGCTTTTTTTTTAAACTTGATTGCTTGGCAGGAAGCATATCGTCAGAAACTGATTGAGAATATGTCTTTAGATTCTCAAGGGAGACCATTTAAGATTATGGCGTTCAGGGGAAGCCCGAAATCGAGTCGAAAACCTATTCGTTTTGTTGATGAGTTGAGACAAGAAGTTGCAACGATATTTTATAAGGATTGCAAACAAACTCCATACAGATGCATCCCCAAGGTATTCAATTCAATGCCACACAGTTTCACCCTCCCTGTTGTTTTGCTTTCGATTCTAGTTAGTACACATGATTTCGGTTCATCGTCCCCAAGATTTTCCCCATGGGATTCTGAGATGCCTACACCCATCGCCCTGTGCGTCGGGATTTGGTTCTGGGCTTACATTCAAGGTATTGTTCTTTATGAACATCCACCAGCCTCTCAAGGACATGCATCCCTTGATTTGAGCCAAGGACTTCTCATGTATGAGAGACCCTTTCATGGACCAAGCTACTTGGCTCAACACAAATCCTTGAGGAACTGAAGGATGCCCAAAAAACCAATACCTTTGATGTAACTGCCTACAGGAGGGGTGACAGGTAAATGATGATACTTCGAGGGTCGGAGGGAGGCATCTTGGAACCAAGTAGTTACGTTACATTAAAGTTCGTAACAATCAGCTTAATATTTTCTTAAATGAAAATCTATGGCCTCCTAGATGTGAACTGTGGGATGTGTGGGTGCAGGGAGAAAAAAGGGTCTTGGATGCACCAAGGCTTAGAAATGACTACTATGCGAACATCATGAGTTGGAGTAACAATAACATTCTTGCTGTCACCTTGGTCCGGAGCTCTACTTATGGAACTCCGAGGACCAGAGAGTACACAAGTTGTTTCAGGTTCGAGGCGGGAATGATTGGCCTGCGAGTGTAACATGGTCTGAGGATACTAAAACTCTAGCCGTTGGATATATGTGCTCCAGTCTTCAGCTCTGGGATGCCGAGTCTTCCAAACTTGTACTCTCTCTCTTTCTCTCTCTCTCCTCCAGATTGATTGATTGTTTCAACGCTCTTTGAAGTTTGCTTAGAAGTATGAACTATGGATATGTGAACATTACAGGTCAGAAACCTTCAAGGTCATAGTGGAAGGATAGCATCCACAGCATGGAACGGCCGCATTCTAACATCAGGAAGCCGTGACAAATCCATCATTAATCATGATGGTATCAGAATACTGTACCCTTACACTGAATGATCTTAACATTTCCCGGAAATTTCTCTTAATATACGTTCTGACTTGCAGTTAGAGCAGCAAACAACGTGGCTTCCTGCATAAAACAGCATGCTGATGAGGTATGCGGCTTGAAATGGTCAACTGAAGGCAATAGATTGGCTAGTGGAGGCAATGAAAACCTGTTATACATTTGGGAAGGTTCCAAAATGAGTTCATCAAAATTTCTACATCGACTCAGCGATCATTGTGCAGCCGTCAAGGCCCTCACTTGGTGCCCTTACCAGTACAATGTTCTTGCCTCTGGGGGAGGTTTGAGTGATGGGTGTATTAAGATATGGAATACACAAAAAGGGATCTGCATTAACAGCATAGAAACCAAAGCACAGGTAAATTAGAACCATAATCGGATTGAACATACTCATGTTTGGCACATAGGTCTGATCACACTCGAGCCTGAGATACATAGCTACCAACTTCTCATCATTTTGAATGGGTTTGCTTTTAGGATTGAAACTGCAGCTATGCTTTGTGGATATGCATTAACCATTTGATTTACATGGACAGATTTGTGGGCTGGAGTGGAACAGGCATCACAAGGAGATACTGAGTGGCCATGGATACAGCATAAGGGAGAATCAAAACAAACTCTGCCTATGGAAGTACCCTTCAATGACCAAACTAGGGGAGCTAGGGAATCACAAATCCAGAGTTATCAATCTATGCCAGGTTTTAACTGTTCTAACTTTTTGAAAACTTTATTCGGAAAACTGCATGAAAATTTGAAGGTTTCCATGTTTGTTTGGTGTAGAGCCCTGATGGAATCACAGTGATATCTGCGGGGGCAGACGAGACACTTCGATTTTGGGACGTTTTTGGACCCCCAACTGCTGGGAATTTAATGGTATCAGATCTTCAAGGTCTTTCGTCTTTCAGGACATCTCCATTAAGGTAATAGGATGTGAAGCAATCGTTTACAACATGCTCTTATCCTTTGTAATTTATTTAGGTCATTGTTATGTACTCAGAGAGAACTTTTACTGATATTATTGAATGAAATTAGTTCATGCAAGTATGGCATTAACAAAAAGTAATGAAATTAGTCGAACACGAGCCGACTCACGGCATTTGGGTGGTGAAACATCTAACATCTAAAGATTTTTCTTAACCAATTGACAATATATATCTTATAGACACAACTCATGGAATTCAGAATCTAAAGAGAACAAACGAACATATCAGGAAATATCAATGGCAAGTAAAACTTTCATTTGTCAAAAAAAAGTTATAAATATAAAATATTTTAAACACGATTATTCTATCAACACATTAATATTCAACACATATCTCCATATTCAGATAACATAGAGATTCACGTCTTAACAAAAGAAATTTTCTAATGGGGATACTTGAAAAGAAAGAAAATTGGTTGGAAAATTTAAAAAAAAAGTTTTGACCATGTGATGGGATAATGTACTAGTAAATTTATTCTATATAGTAATGGATTGTAAGCTCATATTTGGCTTGTTGTGCCTACAAATTATGCTTTTCTTGTCTCAGTGTCAACTGCGGTTCCTGCAACACGACATCAAACATCATGAGAGATTTGATCTTTGCAATGGTTGGATTGAATTGAACATTTTTGGTGATACCTGTCTCAATCCGCCACCCAGACTCCCTCCGGATAATAGCATCGTGATAAGAGATGTAACGAAACCGCCGTCATCTGCGTTACGGATGTTGGATTGCATCGCGCTCAGCATGTTACCGTATGTGGTTGCATGCCCGCGCTTGATGGCTTCGATGAAGGAGTAAGTCATTGCACCGGTAGAAGTAATCTTTGATAAGGCCTGTTTCACATGCCATAAACTGAACATTTTACAGCTTCGGATGATCTAGTGTTTACAGTCTGCGGATGTTTGATCGTCGGCACATCCGCTGAAGGAAATGACTTCCCCACCGTTTGTTCTTTCCACATTCCGGTCCGAGGCCGATGATCCTCCCAAACATATCTCCCCTTCCTATATGCATTACTAAATTAGTATAGTCACGAATATGTTACATATGTTACATTGAGTACTCAGTACCTGTCCATTTTACAGAGGAACGGTAAATCTAACACGGTGCCGCTATGGCAAGCATCGACGATGGCGTGAAGCTTAACACCATGCGGTAAAGACCTAACGATGGTGGCGTTGATTTCATCATCGACGATCATTCCCTGAGATTCGAAATCGGACGGACAAAGGGTTTCGTCGTATCCGTTCACTTCATCTCCATTGTCATCCTTTTGCTGTGAGCCATGACCAGAGTAATGGAACACTAAGGAATCTCCAGGCTGACAACCTTGGACAAGCCAACGCAACGCCATTCTTATGTTGTGTTTCGTCGGGCGCTTGTAGGGATCAGTTTCTTCTTCTGCAAAAATATTCAGATCAGAAGCAGTCCCCATTATCAAATCCACATACATAGTTACATACATATTCCATATGAATTCAACAATTGGAAATTTTCCAAACGAATTTTTTTTGGTTACCTGTAAGGGTAATAATGGAGGATTCGGGGAAATTGAAGTGACGAACTAGCAAGAACTTCATGCAGTTGGCGTCGTTAATGCAACCATTAACTTCATACTGGGTGTTTTTATAAGACACGCCGCAAATAACAGCGCGCTTCCGGCCATGAACCTGCGGTGGGGGTCCGGGTGGCGCGTGGTTGTAAGGTGACGGAGGAGCGTGTGTGTGGGTAGAAGAGGAGGGGCGAAAGGGTAGGGAACGAGGGTCGGCTATGAGGGTGATAGCTTGGCAGAGGACGCAGCGTATGGACTTAGCAGCCGGCGGAAGCTGCAGCGGCGCGTGGTTGTTGGAACAGTTGACCAACATTAGCATCCCTTGCAACGATGAACTGAAAGAGAGGTTTTTGATGGATAGTAAAATAAATAAAGTGGGAATGATTTGAATGTAAAAGTGAAAAGGTTTGAGTGGAAAGGAAGGTGAGGAAGGTGGACTCTGAATAGCCCGACTTCAAAACCAATTATTTCCTCCAAACTTTCTAAAGTCTAAACCTTAACAACCTTTTACGTAAATATTTTTAATTCTATAATTTTAAAGGATAAACTTCATCATTAGTCACCAACCTACTGTTTCTTTTCTATTTTAATCATCATCAAACTAATTGTTTTAGTAAAACATCACTAACATTATATTTTTATTTTATTTTGATCATTTACTGCTGAAATTATAACAACAGTATTGACATGATTTCTTTTTTTCAAATTTTCATGTTATTTTCTGATCCCTTTCTCAACACTCAAGTAAGTCAAAGAAAATTTAAGTGGAGTCATATGTCACCATCATATTGATAAAAAAAAAGATTATTAAAAATTACATATACTGATAATGAGGGGGAGAAAATGATGTAAAAATTAGGGGAAAATAAAAAAAATATCATGTCAATGCCGTCGTTTTATTTTAAAGACCAATGACCCAAATAAGAAAAAAGACAATCCCGGTGACGATTTTGCTTAAAAAAACAATCCATTAATCAGAATAGGAAAGAAGTATAGGTTGATGACTGCTAATGTAGCTTACCCAATATTAAATCAGTGTAGTTTTTGATAATAGTCAAATGTGTTTTTAACGATAGACAAAACCTTCTATATAACAATATATATTTATAAAAGTTCATTTATAAATAGTTTGTATACAAAATATGGGTTTTGTGTTTGAACCTTTAAAGTTTATCTTTATTAGAAATTGAATAAAATATATACATAAAAATTATTAATATAATAATGTTTATTATTTTAAAAAATATATATATTTTTATCTTTTAATTAAATTATCATTGAATTAATTCATCACATTAACTCAATTAAAGATTTTATATAATATTGATAAATGTTAAAAAAATTTAACTGCACTCAGTCCACAATATTGAAGTTATTAATTGTGATTAGTTTATTAAATATTAACTTTAATTTTCTTATTTGGAACCGTAGATGGAATTTAACTACTGTAAATTTCCTTGCAGTTCATTTTGTAAGTAATCACGTTTTTAATATGATTTTTTTGGGGTGTTTTTAAATAAAATGTAAAAAGTGAATAGAGTCAAACTCTGTGCAAAGTGGGATGAGTCCGACAATGACATACAATAGAGCATGTAGAGTTTTAAGTTAAGAAAATTAATTATAATTAATTGAATATTGATAAAATTAATATTATTATTATTATTATATCTTTAATATTATGAAGAAAAATAATTTAAAGTTTTAAATTCGAGTATCAACAATATTAAGAGTTTAAGTGTTTAACATCAAATGATTGAGTTGATGATATCTTATATTTACCTTAGATTGATACAAAAAATTATTAAAATAAAAAATCAGATTTATAAATAATATTTAGGAAAAAATTAGTAGGGATATTGACAAATGAAATAATTTATTAATTTTTCCCATAAAAAGTGAGAAAAACTATATATTTACAGAATTGTACCTATAATTTGACATTGACGTGAACCAATCAGTCATCAACGGATGGCTTTTCTACGCGGTTATAGTCAACAATATTTGTAGCAATTACTCTTAATCACTTGATATCGGTTCTCGTACTTATTTCTCTAAAAAATAATAATATAATAATAATAGTAATAATAATTATTATGAGCAAAGATTTAAAGTACGATTAATAAAATAATTTAAAAGTGTATTTTCAAAATTAATCCCTAACATTTTAAATTTTGTATTTATTTTTTTTTGAAACGTTTTAACTTACCCAATTTTAATTTGGGATAAAATATCCATGATTGAATAAAATTTATTATTTGACTTACTATCAACATTTCTTAGATAATAAGTTCACGTGGGATGTTATATCAATAAATAAAATTAATATTCTATCCGTTAAAAATTTAATGATTAGACTTCTCTTTTAAATCAATCAAATGATATTAATAATATTTTTTATTAATGTGACATCCCACATTAACGTTTTACATAAGAAGTGTTGACCGTTAATCAATTAATAATTTCTATCTAATCTGAAGTGTTTTATCTTATATTAAATTGTTTGAGTCAAAATATTTTAAAAAATAAGGTCTAAAGTAATTATTATATAAAATTTTAAAGACTACTTTTATCATTATGCTTAAAACAATAATAGAAAGAAGGTGATAAATTTAATCTTACAAATTAATAAAATTATTATAAAAACATATTTTAAAAGCATATGTATTCATTCAATATATTCATAAAAACATATTATAGTTTATATATTAGTACATATGATTTGACACTTGGACGTTAGCCAATCAGTCATAGGTGAATGGCTTTTCTACGCCGATATAAGATCAACAATAGACAGGTTCTCCTTGAAGAGACGACTCGTACTCTTTCGCATGCTGGGACGAGATTCGAACCCTTTGCATCTTTCTCTCAAAGCAGAGCCATCTATATCCTTGAAGACAACCCAAAAGACCTTGTTTAAGCTAGGAATTTCCTGATGTTCATCAAATGGAATTGCTTGTGAATTGAACAACTTCAACATCTAAATCCCAATTGAAACTTCTAAAAATTCTATTCCAAGTTGGCTGCGTGTTCTTTCAAACTGAGAGTGTACAGCCGGGGACAAAGCCTAAGATCAAACATTGGAAAGGACAAGGATCTATTACGTATTTAAATCTAAAATTTGGGAGGGACAAAGGTCTTATTTGACTGAAATTTAAACTAACAAGGACCTAAAATGTTATTTATACCAGAAAAAATTGGAGAGTCCCAGGCTCACAGCCACTCCCACCCAACAAATGGCTTCGTCCATGCGTACAAGAAGAAATCTTTTCACTAATTTTGCAGGTGCACCTGAAACAAATTGCACAAAATTCTTCCAAGACCTCATCAAAGATAACAGCTTTAATTCTTTCTCTTTATATTATATCACTTTGGCCAATCAAGATACAAAATAGAGGAATCTAAAGCAATAAAAAACCAGACCATCAATATACCAATCTGTAATGAACAGAGTTCTAGAAAATATCTAAACTTCTGCTTCTGATCCTATAGGGGAAAACAAAACCCGTGAAATTGCATCTTCGGGTGAGAAAACCCAAAAAGGAAAACGTTTTCTTATGCAGGGGTTACAACAAAATTCCACTAACTAATGTGAGGGAAATGGCTGAATCTTTGATCATGAAAATTTGAAAACAAAAAGGAAATCTCAAGACAGAACTCAAGGAGCCAAGCTTTAGCAAAGCTGATTAGATATTCCTTGAAAGCTTCTAATAGGAACTATCTAGAATAAGCACAGGATAATATCAACATAAACAAGAAAAAAATTATAAAATTCAACAGAAAGTATATCAAATTTGGTATTATCCATAGATACAATTTGATTTCCTGAGAAATTCAAGGAAAAAAAGTACAGATAATTAAGATGGTGCATTTTTTCATTACCCAATATTGCAATGTGCATACATTTAACGTTACTTTTACATTTTTGGCTGTTTGGAACGAAGGAATCTCAGCTACGAAAGAAAAAGATCACCTCCGATAAGGCAACTCGTTGCATTACATACATGGCAGAACACAAGACCCAAAGCTTTCGATTTGTTTTCTCTGGTTCTCCCATTAACCAAACAAAGCCAAATGAACTACATTGCCAAAATCAAAAGCTTTTGCTTTGCTTTCTCTTATTTTCCATTAACCAAACAAAGCTAAATGGATTATAAAAGATATTTATACCTTGGCCAATATAAACTATCTTTATAATCCCAGAGATAGAATCTTAAGTCCCAGAAACGCTGAAAAAATTATCATTTCCATTGATTTTCTTTCTATTTGCATTCAATTTCTCACCAACCGAACAATCCTATGCTCTGACAAAATGCCCAATTCAATGAATGAATTTAATCCTCAAAGTCCAGTAAAAAGCACATGATAAACGAAAATCGCCAAAAAAAAAAAAACCTACTTTCAACTTCATTTTCTTGGGAACCAGACATCTCCCATCCACAAAGCAGCAGGCCGTACACGTTTAAACTCTTAAAATCAGTTGACTCATTTATCAAATTGACTATGGAATCTCACTCAAACAGGCAAAACTCGTCGGGCGTGTCCCGAATCGGATCGATATCGGAGCAGCCTATTCCACAAAGAAAGCGCCATTGCAGCTACCAAAGCCCCGAGGAGATCGGCGACGGCATCTCTGGCGGAGGCACCAGCAGAGGGGAAAATCCCGAGATGATCAGCAGCCTCTTTGGCAGCGCCAGCTAGGAGGGAGAGGATGGATCCGAACCGAATAGAATGGTTACGGAGAAAAGGGTAGCGTGATAGCGAAGCTATAACGGAGAAGAAAAGGGTTAGAAAGAAGCAGAATAGAAAATGGTAGAGTTTGTCGGGTGCTAACCATGGATCTTTGTCGTCGTCGTCGTTCATGTCACTGGTTTTCCGAAGAAAAAGATTCATATTACTGGATTTTGATTCTTAACGGCGGATTTTATATGGGTTTAGAATGGGTTCAATGGTAGATTGGAACGAATGTTTTTAAAATCGGATTAGACCATGAACGGTGAATATATTGATTCACTAATTTAATCACGATTCAACCGAATTTTATATAAAATAATTTTTTTAAAAATTTTATATAATATTCAAGTAATATTAATATTTATATACTTTTTTTAAGTTTACAATATTAAAAGGATAAAAATATCACAAGTCATAATATATATAAATTAAAAAAACATAAAATTAAATGAAATAAAATTATTTAAATAAACTACAACATAATATTAAAGTATAACTATAATCAAAAAATAAATTTGGCGTTGAAAAAAATCATAACAAACGATATCGTTAGGTTTGATTTTTTTTAAAAATAATCTCACATGGCATCCCAAAAGTCTAAAGATTAAAAATATGAGAACAAAACAATCTCACATGGCTAAGAAACATAGAAGAACATCCCAACTGACTTCTATAAATACTAGAGGTAATTTGACATTCAAAATTATTGAGCCTTTTGGTGAGCACAGTACGAACTATTCTTTCTTTTCAATTAAGCTCGAATTTCAGGCTTCAATCGAGCTTCTTAATTTTTTTGAGTTCGAGCCTTTTCGAGTTCAAGTTTCAATATTATATTTCGAGTTCGAGTTGAACTTGATAATTTTTAGCTCGTGAGTTTTTGAGTCGAGTTGAACTTTTAAAGTTTTTGAGTTCGAGTCAAGCTCAGCAGTACTCGAGTTCGACTCGGCTTGTTTAACAAATGACGTCGTTTGGTTTAATTTTTTTTATAGAAAAAAGAGAACCGACAGTTCACACCGATTTTGCCGATTTTCAACCGGTTCACCCTAATTTTTTCGATTCTCAACCGGTTCTACCGGTTCTGTGTTCATCTGGTTTTGGAAGTTAACTTGACCGAACAGGCCACCGGTTCACAGTTCAAACGGTCGAACCGGCCGGTCCGATCCGATTTTAATAACATTAATTGGAACATATTTGACAATTTTAAAATAATATATTTTAAATTTTATATTAATAATTTATTTTTATCTTCAGACTTTTATAAATTAATTCTTATAAAAATTTAAGAATTTATCGTATCTGTCTATAATTATAAATAATAAATATTTAATTTTTTTCAATATATTAACAATACACACTGTAGATCATAAATTATAGATTCATTAGAAATATTTTTTTATCTTTTTTTCATAAAATTTTATTTTATTTTTATTAAAATTAAATTTAAAATTTGTTTAAAAATATAATATTGTATTAGGGTATTGTTATTAGTTGCAACTTGCTTTATATTGATCCATTGCAGTATTAAAGGAATATATATGGATCGAAGTCACACGTGACAGGCCTACCACCCCAACTGCCGAGTATACCCAATCTTCGTCCTCCCCAAATCCAGAACAAAGTGTAAAAACCCTAATTACAAATTTCCCTCAATTTGGCAGGAATGGATCAATACGAAGATCAAGAGCACGAGGTGTACGGAGGGGAGATTCCTGAGGAGGAAGGAGATATGGATGCGGATGTGGAAATGTCTGGTGAAGCTGAGGATTACGAAGCCAACGACCAAGGCCTTGAACAAGATCCTAATTCCAACTCCAAAGTTGTCCCTTTCTTTTACTTTATCTTTTTCCTAGCTTTAGCTGAGCTTTTTTTCTCTTAGTGAATAACATATTTTCTTGTTTTTGAAAATTTTAGGACTTGGAAGACATGAAAAGAAGACTTAGGGAGATCGAGGAAGAGGCAGGGGCTTTACGTGAAATGCAGGCTAAAGTTGAGAAGGAGATGGGCTCTGTCCAAGGTTCTTTTATTCTTTTTCCTTTGAGTTTGTATTTGATCTGATTTTTTTCTCTATATTTCTTTTTGACAAGTTTGACTTTGATTGGAGTATGCTTTTTTTTTTTGGTTCGAGAAAGAGAATATCTTCGTAATCCGGAAAATGAAATCAAACTTTACTGATTTCTTTTGTTTTTGAATTACGGAGTGTTTTGTGTATGAATTGTTTAGTTCTAGTAAACTGATTTGTTTTTACTTCATTTTCCTGGATTTCTATGAAGATTCGTCAAGTGCTTCTGCAAGTCAAGCTGAAAAGGAGGAAGTGGATTCCCGCTCGATTTATGTTGGTAATGTGAGGTTTATCAACCCTTCCTCATGCCTTCTTTTATGATCTTATTTTTAAATGTTTATTTGGTTCAGTTGTCCCATTTGCCTCACCTGCTATCCAATTTATAAGTAAGCTAAAAGTATGATTCTGCTTTAGTTTGGCCAGTCAGGATACGGGAATGGTTTTCGTGGTCCTATTTGGTTTTATGTTTGTGCATATGGGGTAGCTTGAGAATGCTTTTTTATATGCATGCGATTGCATGGAGAATCATGTGTTAGTTTTGTTCGGATGTCAAGTTCAATGTGATTCAACAAATTTGATCCATGAGTACTTACTCGGATCTTAGTTTTCAAAAGCGTGCTTAAGGTGCCGGGCGCAGGTGGGCTCAGAGAAAATCGACTCCGGCTAGGTGGGTGCAGCGCACTACCGAAAGTCCTCCCAGGAGGACGCTTTAGGCGCTTTTCTGCGTTGGGCGCTCGCTTTAGGCGATTTAGGGATAAGAGAAAGGAATAAAAGGGAAGAAAATAGGAAGAACGCAGATTAAATAGGAAATAGAAGAAGATAGGCAGTGAAGAAGAACAGTAGTAGAAGAACTGCAGAAGGACTAAAGAGAACGGCAGAAAACTCTCATTTATTATATTTTTCTCAATCCCTTAACCCTAACCCTAACACATGGAAGGTTACTTATTAATCAGCCCAAATCTATAGGTCAACTCTATTATTTATCTATTTGTAACAAGCCCACAGCTTCTTCCACTGTTTACCTGCTTTTATTCAAAAGTACACTGTTTTTATAATATTTTTATTTTTTTTAATTAATTAATTTAATAATTTTTATAATAATTTAGAGTTATATGAAGATTTTAAATTGATGATAAAATTAGTTTATATCATTTAAAAATAAATAAAATAATGGTTTTAAATATTAAAATAATTAGGATAACCCTAACTATGTGTTGAAATACTTTGAAAACTAGGGTCTTGTGAATTATAGAAATGAGTCTTGATTCTTGAGGGGCAAGCAATGGTGAAAAAAAATATTGTTGAGAGGAGATTAGGTGCTTTAGGAGTGAACCAGTGGGTAATGGGTGTGAACGTACTCTAGAATTAATTTATAAACTTTTTAGCATAAAAAGTGTGCCTCGCCTATGAAAGGCGCACGCCTTTGCCTTGCACTTAGGCTCCATGGACCCTTTGCGCCGCGGTGGGCCTAGCGCCTTTTAAAACTAAGATTTTGATGAAATATCAATATCGTTTGTGTTATATTGTTGTTTTTCTTCTTTAAGTAACGCCTCAAGTGTTTCAGTACACTGTATACAAATTCAATTAACAATCCATCTCAGTGTAGTATAACCAAATGGTTTCTCCATGCATGCGAAAAACTGATCTGGATATTGGCCAACTCTTTTTTTTCTTTCTTTATATATCTTTGTAACAACAGGTAGACTATGCATGTACACCAGAAGAAGTTCAACAACATTTTCAATCCTGTGGAACGGTGAACAGAGCTACAATCTTGACCGATAAGTTTGGTCAACCTAAAGGATTTGCTTATGTTGAATTTGTTGAAATTGATGCTGTTCAGAATGCTCTACTGTTAAATGAAACAGAATTGCACGGTCGTCTGTTGAAGGTTTATAGCTTGATATATGTGTGGATATTAAGTTCATGAATATAAACTACATGGTAATTAAAGTGTGTTTGGTTTATTTACAGGTCTCTGCAAAGCGAACAAATATTCCTGGAATGAAACAGTATCGAGGAAGGCTCAACCCTTATTTCCGTTCCCGAAGGCCTTTCATGACTGGTCCCGTTTTCTATCCTCCATATGGCTATGGGTAAGCATGAAATGTGGTTGTCTGCTTGGTTGTTGGAAACGAAAGAAAAAGGATATCTTAAATGTTTTGTATTATCTGCTATTGAGCATTTGTTATCTCTGTAATGGTTAAGCTTTTTGTCAATCATTCATGGCTTCCAAGTCCAAAGTCGTAGTAAAATAATTTGATTTGCTTGGTATCTACTACTTAAGATTCATTTACACGATTTTCTAATTTGTAGGCATTATACCCCTATGCTTGATTGTAATAGTTTCTGCTAAGTTTGCTTGTTATCAAATATATTAACTCACTTGACCTCATTTTTAGGAGGGTTCCGGGGTTCAGGAGGCCGATGAGATACAGGCCGTATTAAGATGGATCCCGTGTTATTAGACTCAGAAGCAGCAAATTTGAGAAGACCATAATGGCCATGTTGTATAATATTGAAGGAGAAAGATGAAGGGAGGGGCCGATTTGTTCTCAAATTGTGATGGATCCATTAATTCGTGATTTGCCTATGCTTAGCTTCAACAGTGATAAATGAGTGAAGTATAATTAAGAACCCCTTGTTGTAGAAGCTACGATTTAATCTTCTCAGTTGTTTCCTGTTGCTTTAGCTTTCGAAAGAGATTTACTGTAATATGAGGATTTGTATGGGATTAGCTTTTGTTTTGAGGTTTCAAACTGTTTATCCGACAACTGGAGTTAGAAAGACATCAAAGAAAAATTTCTTTTTATTATTTTTGATATTATAAAATGATATCTATAATTATTAGTATATAAAAATATAATAATATAATATATATATATATATATATATATATACAAAACAAACATGGCATATCTATGAAACACTTGAATTTTAGCATCTTATTCCCCTCATGGACCAAAAGAACAAAATATAGAATCGAATGTGAATGGGTATGTGTGAGCTACAACAGATGATGGGGGTGTGAAGTCTGAAGTCCGTTCATTTAGGTGGGCCCAATTGCATGATACCTGAAAGAAGCCGAACAAAAGTGGGTTTCGGCCTTGCTTCCCCATAGCAGTAATGCTTTATTCTCGTAAACAAAAGTTGTTAAATTTAGGAGCTACTAATTCTCTTCCTTAAAATTCTTTGATTTTCCTCCGCTCAATCCATGCCTTCTAACAGTCCATCCTCCTCTTTCTCTCTCTCTTCGAAGCCTTCCCGAAATGTATGATATGCCCCTTCTCTTTCTCTAAAAGAAACAATCTTGTGTTCATCAACTTATTTCTCTTACACTTCCTTGTTTTGAGGCTCTCACTGTTGTTTCCCTTCATCTTGATCCTTCCCGTTTCTGGGTATACCTTCTTCTTTGAGGTTTTAATAGGTTGCCATGAATGCTCTAGCCGGAACTAGCCGCAATTTCCGCCTGGCGTCTCGTTTACTTGGATTAGACTCCAAGCTTGAGAAGTCTCTTCTCATCCCTTTTAGAGAGATCAAGGTATTTCAGGAAAAGGGAAAAAAAACTCTTCTTTTCCTTTGTCTTTTGATCTTGGAATGGTTCTGTTCTGATTGGTGTCTCTTTATGATCAGGTGGAATGCACGATTCCAAAGGACGATGGAACCTTGGTGTCGTACGTTGGATTCAGAATACAGCATGATAATGCTCGTGGTCCCATGAAAGGAGGGATCAGATATCATCCTGAGGTTAACTTTTCTTTTAATTTCCTGTTACAACTCTTTTGGTACATCTTATTTGATTTGAATGCCGTTGTCAGAACTCTTTTTCACTATGCATATACTGTTTTGATCTTACATCACAACCTGTGCTTGTTAATTTTGTTTAAAGGTTGACCCTGATGAAGTGAATGCACTGGCTCAACTAATGACCTGGAAGACTGCGGTAGCCGACATTCCTTACGGCGGTGCAAAAGGCGGCATTGGATGCTCTCCTAGGGAATTATCTAAGAGCGAATTGGAACGTCTAACTCGTGTCTTCACTCAAAAGATCCATGATCTCATTGGTATACATACAGATGTTCCTGCACCAGACATGGGAACTAATGCACAGGTTATATAGTGTTCTGTTTTTCATTAACTTCCTTGTTTTCAGTTCTTTTAGTTTACTTTCATAAGTTTATATGTATGTTAAGAATAGACTTGTGTAGACTATGGCATGGGTTTTGGACGAGTACTCTAAGTTTCATGGACACTCGCCAGCCGTTGTTACAGGAAAGCCCTTAGTAAGTGCCGAAGGCTGAAATTCTAAGCTTGTGGTATGTTGATAAAGATAGCAATGATTGGATGGAACAAAAAAATTTACATATTCTTATATCGGGAATTTTAGGATCTTGGTGGTTCGCTAGGCAGGGAATCTGCAACAGGGCGTGGTGTTGTATATGCAACTGAAGCTTTACTCGCTGAATATTGGAAGGCGATTAAGGGTTTGACGTTTGTTATTCAGGTAGATCATAGATGGTTAAAATGGTCTTTCCATTTAGATGCTCCCAAACTTTTGTTGATACTTTTATTATTGGTTTGCTTACAGGGTTTTGGTAATGTTGGGTCTTGGGTAGCAAGGCTCATACATGAGAGGGGTGGTAAGGTTATTGCCGTAAGCGATGTCACGGGTGCTGTTAAGAATCCAAATGGAATCAATATACCTGAGCTGCTAAAGTATAAAGAAGCTACTGGAAGTTTGAAAGGCTTCAGTGGTGGAGATTCCTTGGATCAAAATGAACTGCTCGTACATGAATGTGATGTTCTCATCCCATGTGCTTTAGGTGGAGTGCTAAACAAGTAAGGATCCTTTGCCAAGCATCTTGCTCCTCACATTTATGTTTAAACTGTTGCATGTTATGTTACCATTTCCGGCTAGTTTATTCTATTTTCGTTTCATCGAAAACATTGTGGTGCAAAGCTTTCTTTATTCTGTTCAGAAATTTATCGGGTTGAAACACTATGATGCACTTGTGCTTATTGAGGTTAATATATACAGTTATCATCATGCTTGAACTTGTGCTTACTTAGTTTCACGACTCTGCAAATCTCCACTTAGAAGGTTCTACTATTGAAGTAAATTTTCGACAAGTCGAACAAACACCTGCCTCTTTTGAACTCTTTTGGGTCATCTTATATTCTCATCAATTACTTCTAATAGAGATTGTGTTTGTGTTGGAGATTGACTCATCATGTTCTCCTTTAAAGGGAAAATGCTACAGATGTGAAGGCAAAGTTCATAATAGAGGCTGCAAACCATCCTACTGACCCAGAAGCAGATGAGGTATATATTTGCCCCTTCTTTTCTGCTTCTAAAGGTCGAAGCAAAATTCTGACCTGAGACTCCGTTACTGCAGATTCTATCGAAGAAAGGAGTAATAATGCTGCCAGACATATATGCCAATGCAGGAGGGGTGACTGTCAGCTACTTTGAGTGGGTTCAGGTAATAGATCTTTGAAAATATTGGAAAGAAAAACAGTTTGCCATGCATCTTCATCTGTCTGAGATAGGAAATTCTCGAGTACGTTTCTAAGGGAAAGACTTGATCATCCTATTCCGACTGGGGAGAACAATTCCACGGGGTCGATCTAACTAGATACCATAACATGTTAATAATTATACATTCGATTTGGCAGAACATTCAAGGGTTCATGTGGGATGAAGATAAAGTGAACAAGGAGCTGAAGAGGTACATGACTCAAGCTTTCCATAACATAAAAACCATGTGCCAGACTCACCATTGCAATCTCCGGATGGGTGCCTTTACGCTCGGTGTTAACCGTGTTGCTCGTGCAACTCTCCTAAGAGGTTGGGAAGCATAATATATGGCTCTCTTCCCCTGTTCCGATTTCTAGTCTCCATTTGAAAAGCTTAAACATTTAAGGTTTGAAGCTCTTAGCTTTCCCCCTGCCAAAGTTTTCATCTCTTAATTTGATAAAAACTTACATTTCAATTTATTGGGGGCTCTGTAATCTTTTCAAGTTTTATCAACTTTGTATTGGAATAATGCATTTTGAATGAAATAATACAAATTATGAAAGTTCTTTCGATACATACATATGCATGCATGCATGCATATATATATATTTATATTTTCTTTGAATGGTGGCCGCAATTGATCCACTTTAAGAAAATCAACGACAAGATCATGTTGGCCAGACTGTAAGCAAAAAACCCTCGACTATAATTGCACAAAATTAAGGGAAATTGTGGTTAACTATGACTAAACCCCGAGAAATGAGATTTGGAATGTTTTTACAGCACATTGACAGAAAAGTAAAGAATCCCAAATGAGATTTTTGACATCCATGTCTGCAATGAGTGTGCTCGAGCCAACATCTTCTTCTGGGGTCTTGTCTGTAATAAATCATAGACACGACGGACACAAGATTTTATCTTAAAAGACAAGCTTTTAAAATTTTAAAAGGGGATGAACTTAAAAATTCCAAAGGACAAAAACAGACTATCAGTAGAAGATACATCTAAAAATCTAAAATATATGATAATTTAAAATTTTCAGGATACTACACCCCTCGATTCATTCCTGACCATAAGAACAATGGCTTAAACTGCAAGTCGGTGATGATGGGTGGATTCATCTTCATTTAAACAACAATGGATCCTCAAGGACCTCCCAATGGTTGAAGAAGGTTGAGGAAGATGTTGCAGAGGGGGTTGAATTTGCATCCACATTTCTCTCTGGAGAAGAGTGCAGTAGGTGTGGAAGGTTGTAGGTTCCACATTCAATTGGAACCCCAAACCAAATAAGAAATCCAATTCAAGAATGTTCATCTCTGCTGTGCTGATCCCTCCCACTTTGGCATAGTAGGCATTGTTGTAATACCTGGAAAAAAACATGAAATTAGCTGAGGGTCTTAATCCAATAATGAAAATCTTACAGCCATGTGACAAAACACATCAAGGTTGATTGAGACAACAGAAGCACATCTATGGTAAGGTTGTCTGGTCAGAAACAATGTGTTTTCTCACATGGCTGTAAGATTTTTCGTATCTTTCTCTTTTGGCTGTACTCGTATGGCAAAACAGTACTATCCCTTCTTGATTGACATCTTGCAGGTAATATCAGCAAAAATAAACAAAATACTCCAATCAAGCCTTGGAATTCAGATGAATTCTGAACTTGAAATTTGAAAGATCATGACATATAGAAAATGTTTCATCTGCAAAGAAGAATCTAAGAGAACTTAAAAATGAAACCCAGACCAAATCAAGGAGAGAAGAGAATTAAGAGAAAACCCCAAAAGTTATTTTACAGGAATCGTAAACTTACATGTCATCCATGAATTTAGCAGAAACCAAAACACTGGTGATGAGCAACCTATGTACGTTGTAAAAATTGATAGGCAAAGACCGCTTCATCTGCACGGACCGATCGAGATAAACATAGGCAACCAGGAAGCACGAGGAGCTACAATTGGCGTACTTAAAGATCCTCTCCAGATACCTTCTGATGGAAATAGTAGGCCTCGTGAGGCCATGAAAAACCGACACCTTCTCCGACGACTGAAACAACCGGCGATCATCATTCGACTCCACTACTCTTTGCAACAAAGAAGACAAGAAACCTATGACCCTGGGAAAAGTTTCAAGGCCGAGCTCGGTCTCCGGTTCCGCCATTGTTTTGTCTGTTACGAGTTTGGTTAGCTTAGCTGTGTCTTACAAGACACATAGGTTGGTTCTTTTGCTTGGTTTCATAGCTGTTCCAGGCCATCTACGCTTAAATAGGAACACATTTCTCAGTCAGACTTTAGGTCCATAATGAGTTGGAACTAATTTACGTGTTTTTCTTCTGCTTTCCATTCTCCATGTAATGCTTATTAAAGTCTAATTTGTCATTATATCATGAATCATATTTTTGTTATTTTATAATGTTGGATTCTTTTCTTATAATTAGATATTCTAAAATTTTAATTTCTGAATAAAGATGTTTTTATTTCTAAAAGTAATGTTCTGTATTTAATTAAGTATATAAAAAAGTGAATTCAATTCTGATCTTTTTACGATTATTATTTTAAAAACTATTTTTGATTTTTCTTCTTCTTGTTTTATTAGAAAAAATGTTGGTAGGAGTTGAAATAAGTAGAGCTAAGGCAAAGCCATAATAAGAGGTTTCTTAGGAGATCATGTGCAGTCATTCAATTGGGATTATCCATTTAGATCATTTGCTATGCAAGATATTCAAACGTTGGAGTCTTTCTAGGGCAGAAAATGGGTAAAGAGCCCCTATGTTATCGCCTATACGTCTAGGACACTAGATGCAACTCAACGAAATTATTCGACCACTGAAAATGAGTCTTTAGCTATTATTTTTGCTTTTGATAAATTTTGTTCGATCATGCAACTTTAAAATATTTACTGAGCAAGAAAGAGGCGAAACCACATTTAATCCGATGGATTTTACTCTTACATGAGTTTAATATTCAGATTTAAGACAACAAAGGATGTGAAAATTTAGTCGCAAACCATTTAAGCCACCTCTCCATCTCTTTATTTGATGCACCAGTTCAAGAACAATTCCTTGAGGAACATATATTTTTGGCGCAAACAGTTATTCCATGGTATGTCGACATGGTTAATTACTTAGCTATTGGGGTACTTCTATCTGATCTAAGTCGTTTCGAAGTAAATTGTATCAAACGAGAATCTGGATTTTATATTTGGGACGATCCATATCTTTGGAAACATTGTTCGGATCAGATGATTCGTCGTTGTGTTTCCGAAAGCGAGGTAAATTATATCCTTAATTTTTGTCATTCTTATTCATGTGGAGGACACTTTGAACCAAAAAGAACTGCGCATATAATTCTTGAATGTGGATTTTATTGGCTTAACATTTTGCATGATGCATATGTGTTCTATAAATCTTGTGAAAAAATATAAGAGATTCGAAAATTTAAACTGTCGTAACGAGATGCCTCTTAATCTGATACATGTTTGTGAGATATTTGACCTATGGGGTATTGACTTTATGTTTCAGTTTGTTTCATCTATTGGAAATTGCTACATAATTCTAGCCGTTGTTTATGTCTCAAAATGGACATAAGCTAAAGCTACTCACAATAACGATGCTAGAACTACTGATCAATTTCTAAAGAATTTTATATTTTTTTCGAGGTTTGAAACTCCAAAGACAATGATTAATGACCGAGGAACATAATTTATCAATCAGTTCATCGAGACATTAATGAAGAAATATGTAGTCACTCAACGGACCACCACAGCTTATCATCCTCAAACTCATGGACAAGCAGATGTATCAAATCGAGAAATTAAATCAATTCTTGAGAAGATTGTGAAGCCAAATAGAAAATATTGGAGTTTGAAACTTAACGATGCCTTATGGGCATATCGCACTACTTACAAAGGTATCGGCATGTCTTCATATCACCTAGGCTATGGTAAACCATGTCACTTACCAGTTGAATTGTAACATAAAACATATCGGGCAGATTACGAATACAACATGGAGATTGATGCAATCAGCGAAGCAAGAAAATTACACATTCAAGAACTTGAAAAAAATTATCGTAATGCTTATGACAGTGTTCAAATTTATAATTATAAACTAAAGATTTTTATGATCTTCGAATTTCATTTAAAACTTTTAATACTGGTAAAAAAGTTCTGCTATTTAATTCTAAATTGAAAATATTTGTAGGAAAATTGTGAATGAAGTGGTCAGGACCTTTTACCGTGACTCAAGTATTTCCCCATAGTGTAGCTGAAATTCAAGATGATTCAGGAGTTTGTTTCAAAGTAAATGGTCAACAATTAAAGCCGAACTATGAAGAATAATCAAGTATGTGTGATCGAGAAGATTGTTTTAGAAGAACTTTTAGTCTGAACCAGGTCGTCGAGCTAAACGACATTAAATAAAACGCTTAATGGGAGACAACCCATTTTATTTAATTTTATTTTCGTTTGTTTGATTTAAATTTATTTTCAATTTTATTCAATTCGTTTCATACTTATTTATTTTTGTTTTTAATTTTTTTAGGTACCCAGAACACTTTGATCAAGCCAAATTTGAAGAAATTCGGTATTTTTGATCTTATCTCGCGTGAAGAATCAAGCAATGCAACGCACGTTAGCAATTCGACACATGTAAATTAAACCCTATTCATACCAAAGACCCCCTTTACCGTCCCCAATCCAAACTTTCCACAAATTCAAACATTTTTTTTCAAATTTTTAGCCAAAAACAATCCAATTCTTTTTAAACTTCTTTACATTTTTTCTCTCAAACTCCTAGACCAACCAAACTAGTCAATCCTATTTTTACTAAACCCTTTTATTTAAACCAATAAAACTTTTACTTGATTCTAAACTCTTTTTCTTTCCTTCTATTTAAACCATTTATTTTCTTTTTAATTCCACACATTACAAAAACCCTTTTAGCTTTAAACTACATCCCCTTATTTTCTTCTACATGCTAACAACCACCGTCGATTGTTAAGTCATAGGCCGCCACCATCACCTATCGTTAAGTCGTGCGCTGCCACCATCGTCGATCGCGTGACACCATCGTCGCTCCTCGTTGCTTGTGTGTCATCGGTTAGTATTCCATCACCTATCATTTTCATCATAATTCTTTGCTGCAAAATTTCAAGATAGTGAAAACAAGAAGTCAAAGAAAATCAAGTTCCTTACCGCTGGTTGATCTTGATGGACGTCGACAATCCACCACTCTGGAATTTAATCATGAACCGAGTGATTCCGTTTCAATTCGCGTGCCCCCATTACTCCTTTCTTGATGTAATCAAGGACGACAACAAACATCACATTCCATTCATTCTTCTCAATCACACGACGATGTCGGTCCTTAACATTCACGAGAGCATCAAACCTCACCGACCTTGTCCTCATCGTCACATTATCATACCTTACCGGAAAAAGAAAATTACAAGGGTACTTGCAATTCAATGATGAAGAAAAAATTTGATTCAACGATATCCAACATCAAAACTTTCAAGTTTGTAAGTACATTTCTACTCGTACTTTAGATACTTTGCATCTAAGGGATTTCGTGACATATTACTTCGATTCTATTGGCTGGACTTTATATCCTGAAATTAAATGTGGAACTTACTATGAATTGGTTCTTGAATTTTATACCACATTTAACTTTTTGCAACATCGAGTTGTTAGCGTGAATTCCCTGGATGTTATCTCTTTTCTCTTGTTAGGAGAGTATTTTAGGATGTCAATCTCTAAATTTAATTTTTACATGGGGTTCATGATAGATGTCACGAAGTAAAGCTATTTGACATCTTTGCTTGAGATTCCACTGGATTTTGACACCGACTAAGCCTATTCTACACTTACCTGTTTGACAAGTTAGATATTTAATGAACATACGATGAAGGGATGGTATATCTATGACCCCGTGCTTTGATACATTCACTGATATTCTTACATACAACTACTCAGGGTATAAACGACATTACATCTTGCTTGAGAAAAGTTGAATTATTCTTCCTATGGTGCATGATTACCGGCATCAAAGTTAATCTAGGATTTTGGTTTGCACGAGCTTTCGAGCGCATTGTAAGCTCTAATCATCCACTGATTCTTGACCCTTACATAACTCATCTCGCATCTAGACTTTTCCAATTATCTTTTAAAGTTGAACAATTTACTTATGTTTTTTCTATGGATGGTTTAGATATGTAATGCTTAGACATGATGAGATTACTTGTCGGCACACCTGATGCATAGGAATGGCAGACGTGTATAAGTTTAATGGGTAGTGGGTGGGTGTGGTCACACCCATTGTGGGTAGTAGGTAGGTGATGGGTTTAAGACCTTACCCGCCTATATCCACCCGCCCACTAACTATCCACTATAGAAATTTTGGACCATTATGAATTTAGTTATAGTTCTAAAGATTGTTTTGTAAATATTAATATTTTATAAGCATGACCTAAAATTTAACCAAATATTATAGTATAAACATTTTTAAAATTGAAGTATGTCGTTTATCATATCTCACATCGGTGGATATGAACATGTATATATGTATACGAGATGAGTGATAGGTATCCAGTTAGGTAGATGGTATGGGGATGGGTTTAAGAATGTACCCGCGTGGGCGGGTATGGATTTAAAAATTTTACCCATCGTGGGTGGTGGGTAAGTGGTGGATATAAAAAATATTAGATGGGGATGGGGATAGGAAAAAGGTATCCTTACCCGCCCCACCCGTTTGCCATCCCTACCGATGCACCTTTCATTGTACCTCTAGGCACCACTACACCTCACAACGAGCGTGTCTTTCTTTGAAGACATGCACCACCACCGACATCAGCAGATGATTCGTGGCCGAACATAAAACATCAGATTAATGAAGTGCATGATCGTCTCAAATCCATCGAGTCCAATCTTGTCGAGATGTTGTCTTACCTCAGCTTGGACACCTTTCGCTGAGGTCGTAATCACGGTTGTCACTAAACACGGGAGTATCTTTATTCTTTCCCCCTATGTTTTAATTTTACATATTGGGACAATATGCTTTAAGTGAGAAGGGTAGAGAACTTAGAGAACACTCGCATTGAATTGTCGCTCGATTATCCACCGCTTATCTACATGCTTGAAATTGAGTTGTCTTGGTTGATTTGTTGAATCTTTTGTTATTAATCTTGAATCTTGCTTTGTTCCATTGATTAAATTATGAGTTTGTGATCATTCTTTTATCAGATTTAGAG